TGGTGAAATTACAGGGACTTGCCAACCTATGTCTCAGAATGACAGGCGCAGTGGCAGTGCCTTCAGATCTTTGTGCTTTGAAGCACTGAGTGGTACTGCAGCTGTTATGGACAGGCGTGACACTTCACTAGGTGGGCGACTTATTCGTCCCGTCACTTGGTCTCATAATAATCTCAGTACAGAGTACTAAAAAAACCGACCCCAAAAGTACGTGGAATTATGTCTATTTGCTAAGTTTTATTGAAATATCCCCTAGTTCGCCACTATACAGGACTTGACACTGGAGATAATAAAAATAGATTCTCACTACGACACTACACAAAGTATATTGAGAGAAAAACGCCTTGAATTGGAGAAATAGCAAAATCAACCATTAAAGTAATTGGTCTGAAATTAAAGTTAGACGCTATTTATAAAAATGAATCTTCATGCGTGAACAGCCACCCTTCGAGGTGGATGATTTTCTTCAAAATGAAATGGGACCACTATGGAAGTACCCCCTTTCCAACAAAAAATAATCATGAAAATCGGTTCACAAATACCGGAGTTATCGCGTAACATACGTACAAAAAAAAAAGAACATACAGTCGAATTGAGAACCTCCTCCTTTTTTGAAGTCGGTTAAAAAATAAATAAAAGACGCATGATGCGAATGAAGCTTCATACTAGACATTGTGTTTTGATTTGGTCGAGTAGTACTTATTTGTCAGTCATTGCTTCGGACGGATGTGAGACGGAAAATGAATAGAGCCCCAGATTCGTATATTCATTCGGTATTTATCAATTTTTTGCACAACTTAAGTATTCATAATTTAAAGAAACTCCTAGCTGATGTTTGAATTGGCATTGTATATGTATAAATTCACCACATTTCGCTACACTGCTATTATTATTAATAATGATATGCTTCAGTTAATATTATGGTTAAAATACACTTTATGTTATATATACTAACTAATGACTTTATTTTGAAACCTTGTTTCTGTATGTGTGCATTACAATGAAATATAATTAATTGGCTTCAAACAGGGCGTTACACGAGATAACCTATCACAAACTCGATTTTTTTTTTTCCGAAATAATATTTCTTCCAATTTTCATTGCACCGAAAATGAGTCGAATTATAACAAGACCGTTGTGCTTTCAGGATATGTTGGATGTTTATCGCAAAGCATCACACGATTAGGTTCGGTTAGGTTAGGTTTAAAAGAAAAAACATTTTCCTCTCAAAATTACTTTCGGGTTATGAAAATTCGAGCAAACGTTATTTCTGGAAATTGTCATTTCGGACTGCTGATAGATAACCGTCACATAATAAATCATCAACAGCCTTTCGTAATCCACTGCTGGATTGGACATAGGCCTCTCCCAATGCGCGCCATTTCACCCGGTCCTCAGGTTGTTGCATCCATCTGCTGCCAGCAGCCCTTCGCAAATCATCACTCCATCTGGCCATAAGGCGTCCAACACTACGTTTGCCGAGACATGCTCTCAACTCAAGAACTCGCTTCCCCCATCGGTTATCACTTCTTCGACAGATATGGCCAGCTCACTGCCACTTCGAATGACAGAATAATCAAGCATTCTACCAGCTATGTCGACGACCTTAGTTCTCTGTCGGATAACTTCCTTCCGTACTTTGCCCATAGTTCCATAGTTCGTTGAGCGAATTTCATGATAACTGTTGGTGGTAAAATTGAATTGGAGAATCTTTTATCCTTACCTTTAATTTATCTCGATCACAAGTGTATGACAATTCCTAATAAGAGTTTTGTTTCAGAACGTCTTCATTAGAGGTGAAACAATAGTAGATTATCCAAACTACGAGCATAGAGGACTATTGCTAGATACAGGCCGTCTTTTCGTACCTGTATACAACCTTTTGATGATCTTAGACGGAATGGCGATGAACAAACTAAATGTATTCCATTGGCACATTTGCGATAATATATATTGCCCTATAAAAAGCGAGATCTTCCCTAACATGAGGTAAGTTAAAATGCACCTAAAGGCTCATAACTTACATATTTGTTTCCATTGACAACACGACTGTTAATGTGACGTCAACACTACCGAAAATATTTCTGAGCTGTGAAGAAACTTTGTTATCATCTAGTGTTTTAGAACTTACTATTTATTATACTATTCTTAAGAATTTACTACAGAATTAGAAGACTTCGGTGGTCCAATGGTTTGTAGCCAATGAGGGTTCGATTCCGGGGAAGACCAATTTGGGAAATGAAATTTTCTAATCAGGTCTGGGTGTTCTGGATAAATTGCATTGCTTTAATACCTACTCATAATGCAAAGAATTCCCTAGCCTGACGTCAGCTGTGGTTGGTAAAAAAGAATTATAACACACTCTTTGCATGCTCTGCGAAATCCATTGTACAATATTATGTAAGAACTAACAATCCCAAAGTCCCGTTACCGGATGACAAACCTACTGAAGTCGAATCACAAATTGAATCTTCAACCATATTAATTTCTTTGACAATTTTTATATCACCAATAATCAAATACGCAATATATATTATTATATTATGTCGAACAACAAAAGGCCTAAATGAGGATCCAGAGGAATACCCAGTCATTTTACAAGCATTAGATGTCGTGCCGTTAATAATAACATACGACTATCGTTGGGTAATATAAAAACTAAACCGGTTCCGAAGATCGCCATACACATCACTTCCATCAAATTTCCTCAATAGGATAGAGTGATCAACTTTATCAAAAGTTTTACTAAAATCGGTTATACATTTATTTGAATACGGTCAATATATATATATATATATATACATATGAAAACAATTTTTTTTTAATTAGTATTTTAATCACTGTAGTTTTTTATTCGTCTCGTTTTCAAATGAGTAATTCAAATACAGGATAAACTATAAGTGTAAAACAGATTGGAATATTTTAGGTATAACTGTCATATTTTCAACTTTTTTATGTCAATTCTCAGAAATTGCTTAACAGGATGCAGAGTGGTGGACATAATATATTTCTTTTGCTCTTCCTTCATTGTCTGTGTCTAGAAAAATTTCGAATTGCAGATGTTTGCCGATTCTATTCTGTTGATGTAATAGGTTATATTTAGAGTATGGTATCTTTTAACATGGCCAACTCAAACTTCTCGATAGATTTTTTTTATACATTTTAACATTACCTAAAATTTATATAAAATAATTAAGCAGAGTATGAAGATGAGGTTTAAGCGTTAACTTTAGTTGTATTTAACTGAAGCTCTCAGAGTCTGGTGAGAATCGACACATAATGTCAGCTGTACTTTTGGTAAAGTTAGTCTAGATTCTTGATTTATAATAAAGACAATAATAAAGTTAATTGTTTGAACCGATTCAGTGATATAAAAACAGTAAAAATATGATTTAAAGACTCACATGTTGATTGTATTGTTAGTTTGGCTGTCAATATTTAATCTCAGTTCACCAAAAAAAAATGTAACCCAAATACAATGGGCTGCCTCTCTAGCTCAAGAATTCTATTAGTATTCTCTACAGTATTTCAAAACCCCATGTTTAGAAAACCAAATACAGTGACTACAGATACTGCACATATGTAGAATCTGTAGTCACTTGTAGGCGACATAAATGACTTTCTTGGCACCGTGAATTCCCATCTAGCTAGAGGTCAATTTATCAGTCCAGTATGCCTTATTAAATCCATAACAGACGTCAATTAGGTCATTCCTCATGACTGCCGAGTTCAGTTTAATAACTATTGACCTCAATCGTGCTCCATTTTGCTTTAATTGGCTGTTGTATTGCATAGTTTTTAAGTTTTCCATTCTATGTCCCATCACACATTGCAATTCTATACTTGCAGAACGTGATACCAGTTCCATTGTCGCCAATAGTGAATACAAGTCTCTAACAGTAGTCTGCTCGTTTGTATTTTTCGTCGTTTATTGTTTCTACACGCCTCGAATTTCTTCATATTGTTGGTTGAACAACTTTAGCGGTGACGTCACCTCACTCAGATCGGGCTTAGGTATCTGAAGCCACAGTTTCAGTGAACTCTTGTTTTTGTATATTCCGTAACATCACACTTTCAATATCCCATCCACTCAGTGATCAGACATTGGTGGGATGATGGCGGCGACGACGTTATTGATTATTGTGTTTACGGAAAATAACTTTGTTACTATACTCTTTGTCGCTAGATTCAAAACAGTTATTTCCCGAGTAAGATCTAAGTTCGGTTAGTGATTTATCAACCTTTGTTTCCAAAGGTCATTGAAGTACGTAATACTCGTCGATATTAAACCATAAAATCAAGGATTCTCATGACAGTATCGTAATAATTTGGAGTCATTGTCAACAAGGCAAGCGTCGCTGCGTAACGCAAGCGTAGACCCCTTACAGACGCGTAGTTTACTCGTTGCAGTGTTATAAATTGTGTAGTCCGATGACACAAGCGCGTAGACCCCGACGAACCGATATGACTGTTAGTTACGTGAGATGCTCGTACACATTCAGTGGCGCAGCGCAAGACACTTGACCTAGTAGTACCAGCCCAATTTCTTACGTCACCCATACCACCAAGCAATAATGAGTTTTCAAAAAATCTATAATGTTCTAAACCAATGGCAGGAAACGATGCCATTCACTCGTGAACCTCTCACTAGGCAGAGTAATGAGTTCATAAATTTCGTCATGAATTTAATGCGCGGATTATTTAAAAAAAAACTGCGTGACTCATGTCCTTCTTTCGACATCAGACCATAACAGATGTAGCTATTGTAGGATTTTTAATTTTGTGTTATTTTCTTTGATGTTTCAGTTCTAATGCACAGAACTTGTACACAAAGGACGATGTCAAATTTATAGTCAATTACGCAAGAGAACGGGGAATAAGAGTTATTCCAGAATTCGATGTACCAGGTAAGTAAAATAATAAATTGGATTTAATAAATAATTGCGCAGGTTAATAAATCTGGAAATTATTTGGAACCTTGAAATGCTAGCGTAAGAATTAGGACATCATTGTTCGTGTTGTTACAGGAAGTTAATTTTTTCAACATGGTAAGAGTTAACAACCAAACAGTCTACCAGCCCTTTTCCCAATTTTACAATATTGGTATCATTGAAGTTATTCGTCATCGGTTTTTACATTTTTTAATTTTAAAATTGTCAGGTCATCAGACAGCGTTACAAAAAGTATTCCCAAGCTTATTCCTGCATTGCAACAATGAAGAGTCCGCTGAATTGATGAATCCCACGTTGCCAGAAACCTATAATTTCCTGCAACGTCTACTGGGAGAACTAAATACGTGGTTTCCCGATGATCACATACATTTAGGGGGAGATGAAGCGCATCCTGAATGTTGGTAAGAATTTTCTTTGGCTTACATTTTTTCTAAGATATTAAAGCAATACTATCCATTTACGTTCTTATGGTAATTGATTATGCTATAAGAACATTATAAACTTTTTTACATTTATTTAACCTTTTCGATTATCAACGAATACAAAAGTCGGTCCCTATATCCGTCACCACAGTCAACAAAAATCTGCGAGGCGCCGTTAATGTACAAAAGGCGCGGTAACTGGGCGGCCACTGCGCCGGCAGCCGTGCGAAAGCTTCCTCATCGGGGTGCTCGTAAAATTACAGGCGCTTGGGACTTTACTATTTATGTCTCAGGGAGATCTTTGTGATTTAAAGAACTGAGTAACACTGCAACTGTTATGAACAGGCGTGTCGCCTATACCACCAGGCACATGACTTGTTCGTCCCGTCACTTGGTACCATAAAAAAGAAATTAGGAAGTAGGAAAAGAAGGGCCTCGTGCGAATGCGTAGTTTACCATGGCGCAGGTGAAAAGGTGTTGGTGGTCACCACTTCGCCATGGTAGTTTAGTGGAGAATGATAGACGAGTCGTGGGTTGGTAAATGACTGTATATTAATGTGTATATTTTGCTTGAGCTACTTATTTATACTAATTTGGTACGTGTGTCTTATGCTGATTCACAAGGCATGGTTGTTACTTTTGCTAGCACTAAGACGTGCCTGAATATCGGAAGAGGGTTAGACATTCTGGCCCGTCTGTGGCTGCTACACGTAGTTATGTAGGAAGTAAATTCCCAAATTTGTTTACAGGAACAATCACAACGAAACTTTGAAATATATGAAAGAAAACAACATGTCCGTCGTTGATTTACAAACGATGTTTTATCAAAAACTCGTGGAGCAATTGAAGCCTGGTATGAAACAGATCGTTTGGCAGGTAAATATACATATTGTTTTGATTCGCTTTGCTTGATATTCTAAAGCATGAGATGGTCAATGTCACTAAATTTTTGCGATGATTAATACACTAGATCGATTATATATATATCGAGGTTGTTAAAGTGTAAACCTAACTGTACGTAACCTCGATATGACCTTAGCCCGGTGAAGAAGATGCTGATGGACTGTATTAGCTTTATAATTCGTGCAAACGGAAATAAATTGAAATTATACAAATTAGCGGATACACACGATAGTGTGACGGCACCGTCTTCGGTCTGTATCTTTTTTTTTTGTTGGCCACGGCCTGCGCGGTGCACGGGCAGTGTTGTCACGCTAGACACTAACTAACAAGAAACTATAAAATTTCATGAACCAAACTGTTCAAATACATATATTTCACAACATTATTATTATGTTGTGACAATGAGATGACATTACTATTATATAAACAAATTGTGGCTTAAGAGTAAAACTTACAATGAAACAGAGAACTTGCTGTAAGTTGTTTCATAATTATTTTTATATAGGTAACCATTAATTTATAACTACTAATTATTTTATTGTTAAATATAGAAAATCTCCTTTTAAATTGTAATATAAAGAAATTGCCCAAAAACTGCCTAAAATACAGGTACACGTTTACTTAGTTTAGGCATAGCAATTACACATTAGGTTCTAATATTAAAATGTATAGCTTTACTATGAAGAATCTATAATTTAGATTCCCTTTTTAATGCTTATTTTAATACTATAATAGCTTTATATGCATTTGTTTTACTTGTATTAGATTAAGTTAAAATACATTTATCTTTATCTTTACTATAAAAACTCGTTCATCCCGACAATTCAGATTTTTTTAGTGACAGATAAAATGCTACTATTACTTCAAATTTATTAATGAATCGCTTCATTGCAGGACGTATTTGACTACGGAATTAATATGTCAACCCACGACAATATAGTGCAAGTTTGGAATTATAATCCTCAATCTGAAATGGTTAAGGTAAGTAATAATGAAAATAGAGAGCATATCAAAACGTACCGAAGAAATTTCAACCAATCAATCAAATATATTTATTTATTAACACAGTCCGAAAGTCCGTAGTCCAAAATGACATATTCCAGAAATAACGTTTGGTCGAAATTTCATAACCAGTAATTTTGAGAGGAAAATGTTTTTTTGTTTTAAACCTAACTTAACCTAACCTAACCGTGTCTTTGCGATAAACATTCAACATATCCTGAATGAACAACTGTTTCGTTATAATTCGGTTTTCGGTGTAATGAAAATTCCAACAAACGTTATTGTTATTTCGGACACAAATATTTTCGACTTTGTGATAGGTTACCGAGGTAGAGTGTGTACAGACGTGTTTAAGGCTGCCTTTCCACCAGAGATGTGCGACGTGGCGAGGCGGTGTGTGAGGAAAAAATCCACCAATAGGATTACTTCATTTTTCTAGCCTCGCTTAGTGCAGCTCCGACGGAAAAAGGGTTAGCGGAGCTAAGTACTTGTACATATAAAATAGCGAGAGATATGTGCGAGGCATGCGGGCGGGGAATGTGTGCAAAACAGTGTAAGAAGCTAGAGCTACTGAAATTATGACACTGACATATCCCCACCGCTCACCCCACCACACCGTACCCTGTCCCGCGCATAGCTGCAAAGAGTCCGTAACACATCCTCGCACCGCGCCAGTGCATATCCTCTCACCGCCTAGCTACGTCGCACAGCTTTGGTGGAAAATATCACACCGTTTCACAGCGCCGCTACGCATCCTAGCACCGCCTCGCCACCTCGCACATTTCTGGTGGAAAGGCAGCCTAACACAGATGATGCACCTCTTACAGAGGCATACGAAGATTTTAATATTAATCTAATTAGTTTATAAAATATTAAATAATACATTTCAAGGTCAAGTAATAACTCTATACAATGTCAGAAAAAAAATTAAATTAAATACATTATGTAATCATTAAATTATGAGCATATAAAATATCATTCACACTTAAAAATTCTTCAACCCCGTAATCGAATTTTGTAATCAATTTCAGAAACGGTTACACTCTGTCAGTGACAATTTCCTTTTCTAATAAAAAAAAGTATATTAAAACACCCCATTAAAAGACATTTGAAACACTCCATTCTCATGATGAATGAAATAAAACTTTTGGACTATCTGAAATTAAAAGAACCCTACCAACGAAAGAAAGACCTACCAACAAATGGACATCGGGTCTAATACAAAAACCTCGAAAAAATGTCCGAGGTTAACCTACACAAACGTGACGTGTAACGAAATATAAAAAACTAAAACATTTAATTTAAATTGTAACGTCATTGCAGTACTGCCCAAATTTGCTTACAACAATTTAAGGGCCCAAAAACACCATATTCAGCTTCTACTGGAAACTTTAAAAAATTCACCATATTTAGCTTCGACTGAAAATTACTTGAACACAAGAGTAATGGAATAGCCTTTCTCGTAAATATTAATTATTTTTTATATACAGCGTGTCCCAAAATTCAACGATAAGCGGGCGCTGGAGGGTGGACCTGTGCATAACTACTTGAGGAAAAATAAGAAAAAAAATCTATCTAATTTTTTTTTTCAATTACGATAAAAAAATTGTTATTCTTCGAAAATTTACTCCCTTAATGATATTTTGAATCACCACGACCATATTTTTTCAGATATTTCTGATGTTTTAATTTTAACGGCCACCTAAGTAGTACTGCTGTCTACCACAACTCTTAAAAACCCTAGAATGCCTGCAGTTTTACACAAAAATCCATCAAAATATTTTTTATCCTTAAAATTTTGAAATAATTTTACCTTCAGTCGACTTTCACTCATCGTTTTGTAAAAAAAAAGTATGGACACCACTGCGGCAAGTTTTTTTAAAAATTGACGCAACTAACCAAGATTCCAAAATGGTATAATACTTTAATAAAACTAGGCGCCAAAAATATTGGTACCATTTCTAAGAAAGATTAAAATTCTTGATTATTGTTCTTGTTCATAATAATCACTTTTACTATGTGCCGAAAAAAGGTTATGTGTTGCAATTTCTTGGAATTTCAATGGCACGTGTGCGTAGTCGATACAATTTAGAAATTCCTCCAATTCACAGTCCAAAGTGATAGCGCCAACCCGACATCCATTTATTGGTAGGTCAATGCGTATATGTCTAAATTATTACAATTGTCTTTCAGCTATTAGAAGCCGGTTACCAAATTCTATATTCATCGTTTTGGTATTTAAATTTCGAACCAAAGACATATGACTTCGGTAATTACTACACTCAAGACCCTCGGAGTGCAATCGAGTCCAGTACTAGCAATGACCTCCTACAAAACATAAAGGGTGGAGAAGCTTGTATGTGGACAAATTTTATAACAGACCATACTGTACTTTTAGATTGGTAAGTCACGCTTGCTGAACAGTGTCATTTACGCTCCAAGTGTGCTAATTTTAAATCATCTCAGTTGTGTGGCGATAGCGTCAATGACAGGATTTTGTACGTTTAGTATTCTGCTAAAAGCTACGAGTAGTGGTTTGTCAGTGGACAGCCATCGAGTTACTATTCAATTATGTAAGCCCAAGGAATTTACCAGACTTTCCCAACACAAGCATAAATTTGCTTAAGAGCCGATACTACCTCGTCTTGAATTAAAAAAAAATCCCGTACATTAATACCGTATTAACGGTTAATTTTTTCTTGTGTCGAGCGACAAGGACACTGGCTTCATTTCAGAATTATTTTTTTTTTACAAACAAAATCAAGGCCATTTGAAAAATGTATATCGTATACTACGAGACGTGTTCTATTTAGTTCAGTTGATATATTAATCTCAGTACAGAGTACTAAAAACCGACCTCAAAAGTAAGTAAGTAGAAGTACCCCCTTTCCAACAAAAAAAAAGAATCATGAAAATCGGTTCACAAATACCGGAGTTATCGCGTAACATACATACAAAAAAAAAAGAAAAGAACATACAGTCGAATTGAGAACCTCCTCCTTTTTTGAAGTTTGTTAAAAATAAAATCATTGGCATACGTAAAGTACAAAATTTCGAGACAAATTTCGTTAGTGATTGAATGAATGAATGCCATTCCATTGCCACTATTGAGTTGACGCTGAACTGCCATTGAAACTAGATTTTAGCAGAACAACAAATATTATCATAATTGCAATATAATCTTAGTGGCGTCTCAATGGAATGGCAACGACCAGTGATTTAAAGAAAATTGGCATACTTCGGACCCTGATGTTACCTAAGCGACGGTATGACCGAAGATGTACGTTTGTCTCACAAATGTTTATGCGCTCTAACCTTGAATAGCGCAAAGGTGGTAAACCATAATAAGTAATGATGAAAATCGAAAGTGGGCTTTACACCGAGCTCCAATGGTCATAGACACGATATAAACATTTTTTATTTTTTCATCCCTGAGCCCCTATTTCCCGTGTCTCCATTCACACCAAGTTCTATTCATACCATGTCCCTATTCACACCGAGTCCCGATTCATCCTGATTAGAACACCTATTCCTTGTGTCTCTATTCACCCCAAGTTCTATTCATACCACGTCTCTATTCACACCGAGTCCCGATACATCACATGCCAATCCCTAGTCACCCTGTTTGACTAAATATTTATGTACTTTCAGGATATTCCCAAAAACCTGTGCCACCGCGGAAGTGTTGTGGAGTTTCACAAACGGAAGCAAAATAAACTACGAGGGTTGGTCAAGAATTTATGAGCAAACGTCACGTATGACGAAACGTGGAGTGCCTACAAAGAGGCCTGGATAACCTGACCTTATAACTTATATGTGCCTTTCTTATACAACCACCGTCTTACCTGTGATATTGCTATTAGGGAACAGATGCAAATACGTTGAAAAACCTAAAATAAACGACCTATTTTTTGTATGTCAAGTTATACGATGTTTGCAGGGATGCCATTATTCGTAAAATTTTAAATAATCTTGTAGTTATTGTCGACAGTTTTATAGACGTATTTCGAAAGGAGATAAAATTATACAAAAATGCATGTCTCTAAAAATCTCCATTTTCTTAACAGACGGCGGTGATTTCATATTACATTTAACTTTTTGTGAATCTTAATTTATATTCAAATGAAACCAGTATTCAATCGATGGTCAATAGAATATTTATAGACTGCAATCACCAGCTGTTTATAAATTGGCACATTTGCGCAATGATCATTTCAATCAGTCTTGAAAAAAGTGGTTTAGGGAATTCTTTGAAATTCATTTCGGGGTCATTAAGTACAGGCCAAAACCAACTTACAAAATTTCGAATCTCAAATTGGTTTTATCAGGAATCGGGTTTAAGATCATTCAATCGCCCATAGCCCTAAGTAGTAAGTAAGTAGCCGCAATGGAAAAGTATCGTAAGTCTTCTATTATATTTTTATGCTCGAGGATAATTAATGAATACAGTGTGATGAAGAAATCTGGCCTTAAAAATGAAGAATAAAATTATTTTGTAAAGAACGTTGTTTTATTATCTTAAAAAAAAGGAAAATTGTAAGATTGTTTATGTCTGAACGTCAACCAATATGGCGGGTGTTATGCCATGTATGAATTAAATAACGCTGGATTCGTTGCACGAGGAATTTATAATGGAGATAAGAGACTGAGAGATACAAAGAGCTGATCGCAGACAGATGGAAAACGTACATAATAAAAAGTTAATAAATCGTCAAGGTGACAATAGTGATGTGCGCTGGTCATAGTGCGGTGCCACAGGACCCCTGGGAGAATCAGAGTCCTGCTTGAAAGTGCGAAGAAAACGATATTACCCGGCACGCGATCGTGTGGTCCTAACAGGAGTAGCAGCTTGAGGTTGACAGTTTATACCTGGGAATGAAGCTCTGTCGTTCTGTATATAGGCTGGTTTGCCACGATCCATTGAGACAGTCGCGTCCTCGGTTTAAGTCTACAGTGACGGTTTTGTCGTTTGTGCTTAGAACGCGGTATGTGTAGTGTAAGTATATGTAGTGATCCACGCAGTTAATCTTTTCTAAGGAAAACAGCTGACGTTGAATCCCAAAAAATATAAGCTTGGAAAAAAGACGCAGAAATTTCAAACTAAATTTCGCACATAGATTCGGAAACCTCAGATATGTGAGGCGGGATTCGAACCTTCGGCCTCTGCTTGAGAGAAGGTAGGTGAAACCATTACGCTACAGTGGCTTTTATTAAACATTTATTTTTGACAACTTAGATTGATACCAAAAATTGCTGAATTAAAAGAATTACTTTCTTAAAACATGATTGATGCTAAAAGCAAGTATCAAATGAGGTTAACATTATAAGTGTTTCGATGCATGCAAAAATGAACACAATACGCTTGCAGGTATATAAAAATAATAGTAATGTATTGGTGTGACCTCATCAATGACCAAGATACACCTACCATGAATTTACAGTTCTTAAGACCACTAAGGGCGCTGTAGAATTTGTCATAGAAAATCGTTAAGTTTTTACACAGTTGCTAAAGCCAAACGGCACTGTAAGCTCATGACAGAAGCACTGGTCTTAAATTACAAAATTAACTCCAAGTTATTAAAAAGAAATTAATTAAGAAAAGTCAGTTTCCGAAATGGTCCTAGTGGGAATGGGGGAAAACAAACTACGTATCTGTGATAACCATTGGCTAACTGGGGTGTAATAAGAATGTAACATATCGTTGAAAAAGTTTCGGTAGTAGATTAAATGCTCATTAAATTCCGTCGTACTTGCATGGTATTTGGATTCAATTTTGCTGTAACGCTTGTAAGGGCGCGTTTTATTTATCGTTGAACGACTGTCGCGTCTAGCCCGTTCCCATATCACAACTATCTGTCGTGACTGTGTTATGGACGTATATTTTATAGTTAAACGACTGCCGTGTCTAGTTGTTGGCACTAGATCATGACGACAATTTACCAGTTCACGGCATCTAATCGTATGCACGACAGATTCGTTCGAAGCTGCGATTATCTGTCGTTACATTTATATCGTGTCGTTTCAATTGTCGCCGGACGAGACAGTCCGTCGCGACAGTTAATCGTGTAACAGTAATTTTGTGTGAACAATTTCATTTTGAGATATAAGCCGCAACACTAAACTGCACAACTATCTGTCGTCACGACATAATGGGAACGCGCCCTAAGGTTAACTCTCGTTACCTAGTCTAAATTCAACACCAAACCTTAAACTGTCATATTTCAGAAATAAAAAAACTACTTACGCTTAAATAATCGCTCCGGGCTTCGAGTCGTCCTTTCAGGTACTTCCACTCCGACATAAACTGAACACTATTCACTGGTGGCACCATATTAGCAACACTAACTTTTTCAGTCACATTTTCACACAACAACTTCTCCGATTCAGGACTTAATTTTTCACCTCCATTGACGTTAAAGATATCCTCTTGCATTTTCTCGAGGATTTTATTCGAATCATGGTTATCACTATCACCATGAGACTTATCATCTTCTATTTCCATTATACTGATACGATTTGGTGGATTCTCCGGAGAGGTTTTCCCGAGTGGTATTTCTTGAATTGGTATTGCTTTTAGAGCTCGCTGAAATTGTAAAGTGAACTTATTATTCAATAAAATAATAATCAATTTAATTGCTATTTCTTTAATAAAGGTCCGCTTTAAGTTATTTTTAGATGTTAGTTTTGTTTTCATACAAAAGTTATAGCATGAATCCGTCCAAACATTACGAGTATCTTTGTTACAATTTCGGCAAAAATATAAAATGTTTGAGCACATATGCATGAATTTCTATAATTGTGATAACTTAGTTGTTTGTCGTAGACCATCCCAACATTGTCATGTGATTAACCAATGAAAATACGAGTGTCTCATTCACAATAATATTTAGTATTTTCTGAGCTCAGCAATATGTAAGGAAATATTATTTTGGATTGGGTCACTATTCTTAAACAGCTATAATATATAAAGCATGGACGAATGACTCAAGAAGATTGCTAATCTTAATACTACAGATCGTAACTCTGAAAAGGGTCAAAATTCCATGTTACATATAGACGGCGTTGTTCAATGGCCTAGAAGTAGTTCATATTATGTAAATAACCGTGGACAACAGATTTTCTTTGTAATAATAATCAAATACCACGAGCTAAAATTATTTTCTGAACGGTTAACTATCAGTAGTACCAAAAGACATTTTCCAGAAATAACGTTTGCTCGAATTTACATAACCTCGAAAGTAATTGTTTTTTCATGAATTGAATTTCATGTGATTGAAAATGTTTTTTCTTTTGAACCTAACTTAATCTAACCTTCGTGTCTTCGCGATAAACATCCAATATATAATGAAAGACAACGGTTTCGTTATAATTCGGTTTTCGGTGTAATGAAAACAAACATTATTTCGGAAAAAAAATTCGAGGTTGTGATAGGTTTTACCTTTCTGTACTTTCAATACGAGTGTGAATAGATGGCATTGTGTGATACAAACTAATTTATAAATAACGCTTGCTAGTATGGGTAGATGGCGCTATTCCTAAAGAATTTAAAAGAATAACTAGCAGTATTTATAAATATCTGTGCAGTAAGCGCCATCTAGTTGATTTGTTTGTTATCAATAAAAATTAGAGTAGCTTCGATAAGTTGCAGTTTGTCAATATAAAACAAAATTTGGTTGCAAAAGTAGCTATTTGGCACTCGTCGCGACATCTGGTATACCAATAGGTACTAAATACCCGACTACGCTGTCTTGTACCGCGAAATTACAAGACCTCTTGAATATTTTCTTTTTTGTATAAAAAATTCTTTTTAACTTAAAAAAAAATGTTTGGACATAGTTATGCAAAACTTTTGAGTAAAATCCATATCAATTATATATAGCGTCTTAATAAATTGATATGTACCTTTGATCTCAAATGAGGTGGTTTCTTAACAGTTTTAATAACAGTCACATTCTCTCCTACTCCATTTCTCCAATTCTCTTCAGGAGTTGGAGCCTTCTTCACTGGCTCGTCAACTTTCTTTGCAGGTTCAGTAATTTCCTCAATCAGTACTTGAGTAGTCGGTTTGGAAGGCAATAGGAGATGTTTATTCTCCAGGAGTGGTGTTGATGATGGAGAAGATTTTGATTTTGACTGGAAATAAAGAAATATTACTGTTAAGTCACGCATGATATAGACACAAATCTAGACTATTCGTTTGTTCTACGACTTCGATAACGATATTTCAACAAATAATTGAAGAACCAAACGTAAGGAACTTTTATCATTGAAATTTTAAAAAATATCATATAAAAGTTATAATATTGGCAACACCTAACCATCGTGGCGCGCAAATTAGTCATAAAAGTACTATGAACTTGCAATTCTTCTCGACACGAAATTAAACATTGAACCCTATTTGAGAGGTAATCCGAAGGTTCGCTCACGATGCCAGCGACCCTTTTAACGGCGATTTGGTTTCTTTGCGTTGCTGTTTTTTCTTATTTTTAAAACAGCCTGTAACACTCGGGTCTCTATGTTGTCCTGGTAATGTCAATCCCTGTGATTATTTTGTCGTGCCGTGGGGAATGTCTCCTCGTATTGAGAAACAAGATCTCATATAGGAATACAGAGTTATAACCCTCTTCGCCAAAGGGTTATTTAGTGCAATAATTGAAAGCGCGCTGCTGGCGCTGGTGGATGTTCTGTAGGTTGGAATGTGGTAGGGAGAGTAGTAGTAGCCTCCGCAGCCTGCGCGCCTCCATACTCTTGCTTAGTATGTTTAAAGTTCCAAATTAAAAATAATAAAGAGTGGTATAATAAGCCCCTTTTTATGAATGTTATTCCCGTTTTATTAATATTTGTGATCTTTAAAATGTTTATCGCACAAGAGATTTTTGGTAACTGGTAAACGGTTCAAAAAATTATCGAGAAGACGTGTTCGCTGCCGCGATCGGGCAGGGAGTGACAGTGGAACGAAACAAAATCAGAATGCGAGGCAAAAGAACTATGGAACATTAATTTAAATACGAGTGGCCAGTAACCGGAGAAAAGGCGATAAAAAGGTGGGATGACGATGTAAGGAGGTCACGTCGTCACACAATTAACCCCCCAAGCTCACATATATCTCCTAATCTTGGTTGGTGATCACTTTGCAACACAGGCGGCTCGTTTCTTTGTGTAAATTTGTGACAAAAGGTGGACAACTGCCATTGACATAAATGAAATGAGGTAGGCGTTTAAACAAAAAACCGTTTAAAAAGTTTGCTTTTTAATATAATAATGATAATAATGCACACACTCATAGCCCCGCACTAGGGAAACCCTGTATCGCGGATGGACACACACATGGACAACCACAAAAACCACAAACTCCCGAGAGAAATAATTGCAGGCCATATTTGTCCCGGCCCGGGAATCGGACCCGGGACCTCTGCGAGGCAGTCCGGCTTGGTAACCGTTCGGCCACGGAGGCAGTTAAAATATAAGCACACAAGCACGAAGTTGTAAGATTCACAACTATTTCATTTTTTGCAACGTGCAATAAGTGTCAAGTCCCGCCATCTGCCAAAAGTCCTTTTATAAGCACGCTTATTAAAAAAAGTACAACGTTTTAACGTATAAATTTTATAAGCAGTTTTATCCATCTCTAAATTAAATACGTCTTGAACTAATTGTCAAACTTACTATTTGTTCATAATCCACCAATTATTCGTCCCATAATGGACACGGACCTGTTCTAAGAAGACTGCTTGGGCGTTAGTCCGAAGTTTTTATTTTTTATTTTTATAATATCGAGTGACGGGACGGACAAGTCGTGCGCCTGATCGTAAGCTACACGCCTGTCCATAATAGTTGTAATTTCACTCGGAGCTTTAAATCGAAAAGATCTGAACCACTGCCACTGCGCCCGTCATCCTGAGACATAAGTTGACAAGTCTCACGTGCCTGTAATTTTACCAAACGCGATGCGCTTGCCTTTGCAGGTACTTTACAAGTTTTCCAAGGGGGGTAGGATTCGTAATATATAACAACAAATGACATATTTTTTAGTCGATATAACGCTCAACAGATATAATTAATTTATGGTATACAGACATTTGACATATTCTTGCATGATATAAAGGTCACTGGATATAATAGACGAATGATATAACAACTTTCAATATAATATACCAATGGCATAATGTTCGTTTTATATAAACACTTTAGATATAACATTCACTGAGTATAATGTTGAACGTGTACGTGTGAAAAAAAAACTAATATAATTCCAGTGGTGTTTAATTGGCCAGTTGCCAGAATCGAATTTATTTGCATTTGCTAGTTGGTTCAACCTCCTCCTGTGGGTTTAGGTTAGGTTAGTATATGAAATATTGTGTTATATTATTTAATACATTATACTGGTAGTACTTATACAATTTGTTCATTATATCACTTAATCATTATATCTAATGTTTGTTATACTGAAGGTTCATTATACACATTAAAATTATGCCTTTTGTTGCTATACCTTTTGTTGATTACATACAGTGAGTGATTATATCCTTAGAAATTATATCAAATGTTATTATATCAAGTGAAAATAGATTATTTGTTGTTATATCTTCCATTACACACGCTTTCCAAGGGTTGTGAACTTTTTCCAGCATGCTATTTCAACTTTCAATAAAACCACACCATATAAAATTTACAAAGAAATTAACAGTCCTTATTAGATGAAATGATACCCTGTCAGGCCACAGCAAAAAAGGTAACCTGAACAATGTACTACCAGCAACTGTTTTCCAAAAA